TTAAACCGATCCATCTTTGGAACTTTTTCCTATGGTGAAGCAACATAAAAACAAAAGCGTCTGCGTGCTTTGTGGGTGCTAAGGCATGTTGACAAATCGACGCAAAGAGTTCTCGACCTCTTGACGTCTCGTTGAAAATATGCAAGCAATGAAAGCTGTCACGACCGTCACAGCTTCATCTCTCATGTGTACTTTTACTTCCTCAAAAATATAACGCATATAACACAACGGTAGCTGACGATTCGGCAGTATCGCCTTTTCCAGAGCCTGGAAAGGTACACAAACATATAATTCACCAGGGGAAAAGCTTTAACAACGCAAACAGAAAGATGAAAATCTTAACAGTGATTACAGTGATTACATGATCACCAGCCATCATTGAAGTTAGGGGTAGGGTTAGGGTTTAGTTAGGGTTAGCCATCATTGAAGAAGGCGATTCTGCCGAAACGTCAGCTAGCGTTGTATTGTATTGTGTTTTTATGGAAGTAAATGTATGCTGTTTAAAAACCTCGCGATTGCTGAACAAGAAAACGACACATTCATATTCCAATGCCGAGGTTAAGTGAATGTCGATCGTGGAAACTATTGAAGTTATACCTCACAATATACCCATATATACTCACAATGCCAGTGAAAACTTGCAGAACTTCGTCGGACACCGATGATTTGGCCGAACCACTAATGTTGAGATACACGAAGGATTTTGTGTACATGAAGGATATGTTGGTCGAGAGCTTAACCTGAAGAATAAGACATTTGATCAGTACGTATAGAAAGAAAAAAAAGGAGGTGTAGCGATAGCTCAATTAATAGAAACAGTCACCTGTGTCTCCTGCAGTTCCGTTGATCGTCGAGTGACTCGATGACGACCGATTCGGTGGTGTCGCTGAAGTGCGTTTAACATCTTGAAGAATTCAGATACTAATGACTGCTGTCCATCAGTTGTCGTGCATACGCGTTACGGGTCCGGTAAAACTTATCTTCGATTGTTTAGTGTACAGAGCGACGCCTTTGATTTTTGATCGTTGACGCAGATCGGAGCTTCGGATCCCATCCTTAACTTGTCTGAAACGGGAGACTGCTAGCATCGTCCTTTCAATAACGCTGGGTGACCTTTCATCCTGCTCCAAAGAAATGGTGCAGTCGTGTGAACCGGCAACTTTCGAAAAAATAAAAGACTATTCCGTTTACGCATTCAAAGGAATTGTTAGATTTCCACGATTGAGCAGTTATTGGACTTCTGTCACGCTTGGTGTAATAGCCGTACTTGGATTACAAGCCGTGCTAAGAAACACGTTCAGAAAGCCGTTGAATAGACTATATTTTGGAGATAATATGATCGATTGTGGAAATGTCCAATTGATGTCCACCTTGTCTTTCTTCGACCAATAAAAGTTAATTTTATGACCGGCAATTGAATGATTCTTTGCTTCCAATTGCCACTTGAAATTATAATTATTATATGCAATGTGAGGACATAATTATGCTAACAGTAGGAAGATAGCACGGTGGTAGTGGTGCCGGTGATCATGAGCACAGTGGTAGCTCGATGCCGCTCTGGGTGCGCCAAGCCTCTCTTCTCTCCAGTGTCGTGAAATTGGTGCCGGACTTCTTTGGCAAAAATCACTCTCTGCAGTCAATTGGGAACGCTCCAGCCCAGCTATCTCTGGACTCCCGGGAGATTCCAGTCGACCAGTATTCTATGACATTTAAAATGAAATAAAAACGATTTTCTTCGTATTTTTGTTGAGCAAATGCGAGGTGTTACTATTCTTTGTTCACGATTAAGCTGACGTTTCGGCGAATTTCGCCTTCTTCAGAGCCTGGAAAGGTCAAGTTGATAGCAACTCACTCGGCCAGACGCCTCCATAACCAAACAAAGAAACTCCAAACCAAGATTTCAATCACTTTGAACATAGCTTTGCACACTCACCGCTTTCTATGAGGTTTCCACTAAGTGTGTCACGTAGAGACCAACCGCACAGAAATCACTTGGAAGTATAATGTGCCCCTCTCATCAGAAAAGCGGTTTTATATACTGCCCTATATCACGCGTGATAATGAGGCATTCTTCCCTGCGGTTCATTTTCGGATTTCTGGAATAAATCCAGAGTGCCCCGAGAGTTTTTCGCGCCTGTGTTCTTGATTCGCGTGCAAGGGTCGTGACACATACTTCAAAGTCCTCCCCGTTATGTCTCTGGGTCCTATGCGTGCCTAGCGGGGTATATGGTCTAATTTTGCCGGCTAGGTGTTCTTTCATGCGGACACAGAGGGGTCTACCCGTTTCGCCAATGTATTCGTCACCACACGTCTTACAGGAGATCAGATAAACTATACCCGAGCTCATGCAATCACCGTCTCCACCACTGGGGCAAATTATGCAATTTTGAGTTGCACATAGACGGTCATATAGGCGGTTAGGAACTAGCTGGTGCTTAAGATTACTCGGTGGTATTTCAACTACGCTCACCGAATTCTCTAAGCCCGCCCTTCCTAAGCAGCGTTTTATAGCTGTACTTATATCATTTGAGATGAAGGGTAGGATAAACGGGACCCTTCCATCGCTAGAGTTNTGTTCTTGATTCGCGTGCAAGGGTCGTGACACATACTTCAAAGTCCTCCCCGTTATGTCTCTGGGTCCTATGCGTGCCTAGCGGGGTATATGGTCTAATTTTGCCGGCTAGGTGTTCTTTCATGCGGACACAGAGGGGTCTACCCGTTTCGCCAATGTATTCGTCACCACACGTCTTACAGGAGATCAGATAAACTATACCCGAGCTCATGCAATCACCGTCTCCACCACTGGGGCAAATTATGCAATTTTGAGTTGCACATAGACGGTCATATAGGCGGTTAGGAACTAGCTGGTGCTTAAGATTACTCGGTGGTATTTCAACTACGCTCACCGAATTCTCTAAGCCCGCCCTTCCTAAGCAGCGTTTTATAGCTGTACTTATATCATTTGAGATGAAGGGTAGGATAAACGGGACCCTTCCATCGCTAGAGTTGCCGTTTGGAGGCCTATGATTTCCTCTACACCTATTCTGAGCTACAGTTTCGTAGCCGTTAGAAACGGCTATTTGCCGTGCCAAATTCCGGGACTCCTCTCTCTGCTCTCCTCCCGTGCACACGTTGGTTTCTGTTCGAAACATGTTTCTTATAAGCGCCCTTTTCGTGTGAGAGGGGTGAGAGGAGAGGTAATGAACCAAGATATTTTTACTACTTGGCTTTCGGTACCACTTTGTAATGTAGTCATTTTCTGATAGGTGAATTTGTACGTTCAAAAATGGAAGCCATTTTTCTTTCGGCTTTTCTCGGGTGAACTTGATATACTCTGACTGTGCGTTTAACAATTCGAAGCATTTGTCCATTTCCTCTTGAGTTGAGCAAAGGACAAAGCAGTCGTCTACATACCTACAGTAGAGTAGCGGCCCGAGATCAGTCACCGGTGCTTCCACCTTAGACATAAATGCAATGGCAAGGCTTGGAGCCAGTCGTTGTCCCATTGCCAACCCTCTTATTTGAGCGTAGTACTGGCCGAGACGAGACGAAGCCATCCATTCAACGCCGTCTTTGACACAGAACTTGATATACTCTGAATGTTTATTCAACAACTCGAAACACTTGTTCATTTCCTCTTGTGTCGAGCAAAGGACAAAACAGTCATCTATATATCTACAGTAGAGTAGCGGCCCGAGATCAGTCACCAATGCTTCCACCTTAGAGATAAACGCAATGGCGAGACTTCGTGCCAGTCGTTGTCCCATTGCCAACCCTCTTATTTGAGCGTAGTACTTTCCGGGCCATCTGAAGATTGAGCAGCTCAAATAATCTTTTAAGAGTCCCATCAACTGCTCTATCTTGAAGCTATACATATTTATTTCTCTTTCGTGTTGTGTAAGGAGTTCGAACATGGCTTGCATTGCGGCGTCATTCGACACGTTTGTATAAAGGGCAGTGACGTCGAAGGACTCCATCACGCACGCGCTGTTGGGCTGCGCAGTACGTAGACGATCCAGAAACATTTGGGTATTCGTAAGATGGGCTGGAATGTGTTTCAACAACTGGTTAAATATTAGGGTTAAAGACCATGTTATCCTATCCGTTGGCCCGTCTACACAGCTGATGATAGGTCTATCCCTAAATAATGATGGAACTATAGACGCAAGATCATCGCTGGTTACTAACTTATGAGTTTCTATAAGCAAGTACAAGACGGGACACGTTGGTAAGTCAATTTTTGGCTGACAGATAACTGATAGTTTTAAACCAGCAGCCCTTGTCATTTCGGCTTATTCGTGGTTCAATTTTTGGTATTTACTTTTAAACTCCTTCTCAGATGGCGATAAAGCGAAGCATCTTCAAAATTTTTTTACGTTATCTCAACATTTAACTGATCGGGAATTACGATAAACTCTTCGCCCTTATCATTAACGGTTTGTCTTATGTTTTTCAACCTTATCAGCTCTTTAACCTCCCGCATACCGCGTTTTTGCACTTCAGTAGGGTTTGAACTGTATCTTTTCGCTCGATAGTGATTAAGGACATTGGGAGTTCCATTCGTAAACATCCGAAACTTAACATCAACATTATTATTGGGCTCTTTTTGTCTAAGGAACGGCTGAGGAAATGGTGATATTGGTAGGGGCCCCACTTGGTGTTGCTCACACCAATTTCAATAACAAATACAAAAGAAAAACTTAATGGTAAATAACTGCCACGACCGACTTTCTATTAACCTCGGCATTGATCAAGTGATTCACTTAATGGTAATTACATGATCAGCAGTTTCTCGAAAAACTCACCGTTCATTGCTTGCCTTCCACTGAGGAAGAACAGCTGATCAGATTCGTATTTAGTTGACGGCTGCACCTCCCCATACCAACGATCGATGCAAAGATACGGGCGAGATCACGTGTGATCTCGAGGCATCCTCCGTGCTATTCATTGTAGAGTTCTTGGCATTTATCCAAAAAGCCTCTGAAAGTTTGCGCGTTGGTGTTTTAGTCTCCCTTGCGAGGATACAGAATTTTGCATCAAAATCGTCTCCGCTATGCTTTTGCATCCTATGGGTGCCTAGTGGGGTATTCTGTCTTGCTTTTCCTTTGCCATCTAGGTGTTCTTTAATACAGGTACACAATGGCCTGTTCATTTCGGCAATATATTCATCTCCGCAAGCAACAAGAGATCAGGTATATCGTACCTGAACTCATGCAATAACCGTTCCTACCGTAAGGGCAAATTACGCAATTTGGTGT